CTTCTCTCCAAAAGATGTGGTTAATTAGAAGGTAATGTTATTTGTTCAGAATTCAGAGTAGGGAAAAACTGGTTACTAGAAATCATTTGATTGTTTAATTGGTTATACACTTGAGTATGAAGAAGAGTAGTCGTAGAAGGGGAAAAGGAAAAAGGCGAGGGTGGAAATCATTATTTAGGTGTGTTATTTATTTGCTGCTTTGATAATTGGATGGAGAAAAGAGCAGTGATTTATATTTTATATATGTATATATATAATTTATTATGAATTCGGTTACCGTGGATGCATTATTTGGATTCTGTAGAGGGGAAAAAGTGGTTGATATCAATGTTGTATTATGAAATATGTATCTTGAACCCCAGGAATTATTTGATCACACTTTCATTTATTCGGCCTCTATGTTTGATCCTGTGTGTTTCCATTATGTTATGTGAATTTGGCCTTTCTGCTCGTCCTTTATGATTTGGTTGAGTTTGGTTTGCAATTCGGTTCAGATTATTTATTGCATTAAGAAGGAGCCACACTGGAGACCTGTCTTTGCTGTATGATAACACAGCAAAATTCAAGCCCACAATGTTCTTTCTTCGGTGTGTTAAAGTGATTAATACAATATACGTTGATATTTCCAGTGAATGACGAGAGTGAAAATAAATGGGACAAGTGCACGGACCTTCTTGCCACTTGCTATCTAGCAGTTCACAGTACAACTTTGAAGTTGTGAGGTCCCATATTGTTTTGCGTGCAATGTCATGTGGATGAGTTGCAATGGCAGTGTAATATACTCAAGTAGATTTAAGCAAGCCTTTTCTTCTACAGACAAGAATTTTAGGACCAAGCACCTTTTAGGACCAAGCACCTGCTGCTTGGGACACTTACCATTCCTAGTATAGAAAATCTTAGCAAATATACAAGGTGGCATAATTTCTTAACCTAGGAAGCAGCCTTTGTTTAGAAAAAAGATGTCATAATAGAGAACTGATAAACTAACTAGGACTGGTGCTTGAACTAAACTACAGTGGACACAGATCAGCTCGAAGAAGAAATGAAAATTCTACCTTTAGAACCGTGATCTTAAAGGAAAATAAAAGGAGGAGGCCTAAGGTAATACTGGTAAAAAAAGTGTAGATAAATGATTGTCATCTCCATGTCTCTCTGAGTGCCTCGGTGGACTCATTCCTATTCCCTACCACAACAATGATAACTATCATAGCTCCATATGACTCCAGAGATGGTTTGTTCATCATGAGTCATGACAGAGGAAAACAAATGAGAAATTCACACATAAAAGACTCTGAATTGGATTACTGCAAATGGCATTCTTCATTTCTGCATAATATTTTTTTGGAAATGGCCTCAGTTGGAACACAGACAAGATTTCCCTTTTAGCATTGTGATCTAAATGTATTCTTGAAATTTTTTTATCTTCAAGTTATTTTTTTGTGTTTTTTAATTATTTTAATGCACTAATATCAAAAATATTATTTTTGTATGTTTTCAAGTTAAAATACTTTTAAAATTATTGTTCTTAAACATATTTGTAATTTAGGCATGTAAGAACTTAAATTTTAGGTCCAAGGAAGGTACCTAAATTCTATAATTTAGACATGTAAAAACTTAAATTTTAGGTCCAAGAAAGGTACTTAAACTATAGAGTTTCTTGAAGCATATAAACACAAGAAAAACATGTTAAAAAAAAATTAGGGGTGTTAACCATTTTTATATACAATTTAGGAACCTTTAAGTTTAAAGCAAAAATAACATGAAGATCTATTTTTTTTTTTTTGTGTTCATTGTTAGGTTATTATAAGTCACGTGTCATCATCACATCGGAAATATTCTAAAACCTTTTTATATTAAAGTAACTGTTATGCCTTAAGTGATGTGTCTTTCATGTCTTAGTGTTGCTTATTCTTTTCTTTATTTTTATCTACTAGATTCAAATGGATATAAAAAAATATATGACATAACATTTTATTTATAGAAAAAACATGACAACTCTATTAATGAAAAAATATCATTTTATCTCCTGAAAAAGTTACATGTATTATTTCATGATAATTTTGAATAATTATGCAATCATATCCCAACTAGGTTTTTCTAAATTTAGAATTGTAACTCCTAATATAAATTACATTCTTGCCTTTAATTTTTTAAACTTTTTTACAATCAAGTCTCATTTAATTAATCATCTCAGTTTAACTTATTACTACTTGTTCTTATTGTTTGTAATCCATTAGATTCCTAATATATTGGTCTAAATATAAATCATAATTCTAAAATAAAAAAGAATTAAACAATTTAATAATTTAATTTATTATCAATTCAACAATTAATTTATTTATATTTGAAGATCAAGTGTATTGTCTAGTAATATATCATTATCTTTCGAATATTAAGAAAGTCATATTTTATCTAAATTAACTTTTCAGTAACTATGTTCTTTGTATAATTATTATTTATTCATCAAGAATGTTTTGCTTTAAATATTAGAGCATGGACTATGTTCTATCAAATCATATTTATTTTTAACATCACAATCATTGATTATTTGAATAAGATTTAAAATATTTTTCAAATCACATTCCATCTTATACAGGGATTTCATAATCAATGCTATATGAGAACAGGTTAATTTTTTTTTAATTCACTTAGAATAAAAAAATCATCTCTTGATCAATCAAATATCTTTATACAGTTCATGTTTATTTGTTACCCTTAATTAAAACGTGTAATTAGACCAAAGCATAGGATTTCATTTATAAAACAACTTAGTGATCTCAAGTTTAAGAATCACTTATACAACTATCTTGTGAGTTTTTCTGTAAACACAAGTGCTCTCCATATAAAATTCACATGTAGGTCAATTTAGCATAAATATTATTAGACAAATATGTAGTTATATATATTTCATATACCTCAAGTTATAAGAACTATTATCTTCTTTCACAAAAGAAATAACATAATATGTATTTATTTTAACAGCTTCAATTAATGTCATGTATTAATAGAACATTGAACAATAACATTTAAAAATAATACTTTAATGCAATTGAAATACTTATAATTATAACCATTTTATATAGTATTTTTGTTTCAATGACTATATCTTTACTATTAATCAAATATAAAAAAATTATTTTTTAATAATAAATATAAATTTACATGAATAAAGTTTGTGCACTTGTAACTAACTAATTTGCTATATAGAATACTAGATAAGTGACCTGCACCACATCATAGGTCTATTTGTTTTTTTCATCATTGAAAAGATATTAATGTGGTCAAACATTTTCAAAAAAAAAGAAAAAATTTAAGATTTTGGTCATTGACCCAAATAAGTTTAATAAACTTGAAAAAAAATTAAGAAAAAAAATGTAGATTTGAAAAAAATAAGAATCAAATTTGATACAAAAGGAAAATCAAATCAAATCTTAAGGATGAAATAAAAAAAAATTTAATTAAGAAAAGAATAAGAAAATAACAATTAAAAGAATAAAGATCAAATTTAATATAAAAATCAAATGTCAAGAGATGAAATTAAGAAAATCAATAAAAAAATTACCAAATACATTGCAATTAAAAGAATGAGAACCAAGTCAGATATAAAAACTAATATAAAAATCAAATGTTAAAGGATGAAATTGAAAAAAAATTAACTCAATAAATAATTAAAGATCAAATATATTGCAATCAAAAGAATAATGACTTAATTTGACTAAACAAACAAATAACAAAACTTTTTTTTTTCATTGGCCAACATGTTGTTTTTCTATAAAAGGAGAGAGAAAAGAGAAAAGGAAGAAAAAACATGTGGCCAAAGTATAATCATCCATATTTTAATAGCACATATCTCATTATTATGATGGGGATGGTGAGGTGCATTAAATGTTATCTCGGATGATGGCATTTTGAGTTGTTTTTATGTTGTACGTGTTACTTGAAAGGTACTAATAATGCTCAGCACGAGCTAACCACTTTTAAATTTAAATTATAGCTAAAGTTTCTTCATTCAAACCTAAGAAAAATTGTTTTTTTTTTAAGTACTCTCGGATGATGGCATTTTGAGTTGTTTTTGTATTGTACGTGTTACTTGAAGGGTACTAATAATGCTCAGCACGAGTTAACCATTTTTAAATTTAAATTATAACTAAAGTTTCTTCATCCAAACCTAAGAAAAATTGTTTTTTTTTAAGTATATTATACAAAAAAAATTTGAAAAAACTCTTAAGGAAAAAGTTTTTAAAACTTTTAAGTGTAGTTTAGTTATTACATTGTATATTAAAGATGTAAAAATACCGATTAACCCTTTATTTTCTGTAATGCCTAAAGGGTCATATGAAAAAGATTTTCTTATCCCTTCCAAGCTTAATGAATTTGCCCTCTAATGATAAAATAATAATTTTATTGTGTGAATCGATGATGAGACATGAGTGTACACAGAGAACCTTTGAGCTCTCTTAGGTTTTTGTATAACATATTAGCACAAACATCTCTCAATGCTAGGAGGATAGCTGTGTAATTCCGAACTCCTTCCCGTGGCCATCTCCAAAATGTCTGAAAGATATAGTAGTAACTGGATTCCAAACCTGTTCTTCGTATTGTAATAGAAGAGGGAAATGTCATTGTTTCCTCAATTCTAATATGTTCAAAAATGGTCACAATACTCATTAGTACAGTTTAAGTTTTTGCTTCAGCCAAATCATTGGTGCATTCTGACATGAAATCTGCATGCCATCTCAGAAAGAGTTCAGAAACTAACGTCTGGTTTCCATCATTTTAGCTTTTAAGGAAAGCCAGCTCTTACTTTCTTGGAGGACCCTTTTCTTTGATACTCCAGCCGTGAATAATAAGCAAATACAAGGGATAGAGCTTCCGAGGGAGACAACCAATTAACCATAATACAAGTAAGACAGAAGTAGAAATGGAAGATGGCCCCTTAATAAGGAACAAATCTAACACAATCAAACTGGCATGAGACGTAGTTTCCTTCATGTATTAGATTTATCGCAATGATTCATAATCTGTCTTGAATAATATATAAATGAGATTAAATGAAATGCCTACCAGCCTCTAAGTGATTTGCTGCAAAAAAATAAACTGAGAATTACTAGTATCTATGCCCCTCGTTTGACCTAATATATGACAGAAACCCTACTTGAACTCCTCTCCTAAGATACATTTCTCTTGGACCACTATTTACAACAATTTACTAACTCATAATTGAGAATCAACCTACAAAGGGACGAGATGAGCTCTGATACATTCAAACCCCTTCTCTGCACTTAATTCACCAGAAACCTCTGCAACAACAAACGCCATCCTTGAAATGGTGAAACCGATTAGAATCTCTCAAGACAATCTCCCTTCCTAATGTCTTGGAAATGAACTTTGCCATCTCATGACAGTCACCACACACTCTCAGGTTCTTTGATACCCGTATTGTTCTCCCAGGTGGCAAGTTCAATATTCCAAAAGCCATGGCTAATTTCTCACTATGCCCACACAGAGCCGTTTCCTTCTGCAGGCTATCTGCATTGATCAAAGCATATCTTGTTTTAGGAAAGTAACCTTCTTCCTTCATCTTTGATCTCAACCTTTTCAACAAAACCTCTATCTTTTTGGCTTGTGGGTGTGAACTATTTCCAGAAAGAAAGATGTGAATTTTGCTCTTGACTTCTATCCAACTGCAGCCTGGGTTCTTCTTTAAACCCCGCTGACCAATCTTTTGTCTCAGCTTTTTCACCTCTTCCCATTTCTCTGCCTCGGCATAGGTATTTGCTAAAAGTACATAGTATCCCGTGTTCTCTGGTTCAAGTTCGAAGACGTGTTCTGCTACTTTCTCAGCTAATTTGACATCATGGTGAATCCTACACCCGGAGAGCAGTGCTCCCCAGATTGTGGCATCAGGTTCAATTGGCATTGATTTTATGAATTTGTATGCCATGGCTAGTTTCCCACTGCGAGCTAAAAGATCCACTATACAAGCATAATGCTCCAGCTTTGGCTTGATATTGCATTCATCTTTCATAACGTTAAAGAATCTCCATCCTTCTTCAAGCAATCCAGAATGACTGCAAGCATACAGTATTGAAATGAAGGACACTTCATCAGGCTCAATACCTGCTAGCCTCATCTCATTAAAGGTAGTGATAGCATTGTTCCCAAATCCATGCATGCCATATCCAGCAATCATAACTGTCCATGTGATCAAATCCTTTGTAGGAATCATATCAAAGAGCAACCGTGCAAGAACTGGTACCCCACACTTCACATACATGTCAACAAGTGCATTGGCAACCTGTTGATCAGAAAAAAATCCATTTCTCAATATATGACCATGAACCTCTTTGCCTTTATCTAGAGAAGCTAGGCTGGCACAAGCAGGAAGAATACATGCCAATGTCGTGCCATCAGGTTTCATTTCTAACACCATAGCACCAAACAGACTAAGAGCTTCATTGGGTAGACTATTTTTTGAGTAACCTCCTATCATCGTGTTCCATGAGATGATATCTTTTACAGGTATTTCTAAAAAAACTGAGTTAGCATCTTCCATGCTTCCACATTTCGCATACATATCCATGAGAGCATTGCACACAAATATATTTGATTGCATATCATTCTCCCTAATGTAATTGTGCACATCCTTGCCATTTTCCAGTGACCCATTACAAGCACAAGCATGAAGAACCGTTGTGATAGTAAAAATATCTGGGCTAACACCTTCCCTGTCCATTTCATGGAACAATCGAATAGCTTCATCAGAGAGACCTTCTCGAGCATAAGCTGCAATCAATGAAGTCCAAGTCACAACAGTTCTTACACTCATCAAGTCAAAAACTCGAATAGCACCATCCAAAACACCACATTTGGCATACATATCCAGTAATGTATTGCAGAAGGTAGTTTTCCCGTGAACACAGGCCTTCACTGCAGAACCATGAACTGCTCTACCCAATGAAACATAACCACAATTTGCACAAGCTTGAAGAATACTGACCATTGTAGCCAAATCCATATCAACTCCCGAATATAGCATCTTTTTGAAAAGTTCAACTCCTTTCTCAGAAAAACCATTAGCCACATACCCGCTAATCATTGAATTCCATGAAATAACATCTCTGTCAGTCAATTCATCGAACAACTTACGGGCAACATCAACTCTCCTCATTTTCAAGTAAAAAGCAATGAGCGAATTAACAACAGCATTACAAGAACCCAAACCCAATTTTAACAAAAACCCGTGAACCCATTTACCTTCCTTTACACTGCCTAAAGCTGCAAAACACTTCAATATACAAGAAACTGTATGAGAGTTAACTTCAACACCCAAATCCAACATCTGCCTAAATAAAGAGACACTCTCTTTAAAATCACCAATCTTTGTATACCCATTCATCATTAGATTCCAAAGAAAAACCTTCTCATTTCTTATCTTATCAAAAATCGGTCTCCCTTCTCTTAAATCCCCACAAGTTACATACATAAATACAAGTTTTGATCCTAAAACACTGTCAATTGAAATCCCACTAGAACATATAAATGAATGAACTTTCTTGCCATCTTGTAAGGATTTAAGTTCTGCAGAAAGTTGCAATATTGAGCAACAAGTTCTTGACTCAATTTCAGCTTTTGGAGACATGTAAAGCAGTTCTATTGCTTTATCAATATTTCCCATTTCACAGACCTCATAGATTTTTTTGTTCCAATCAGTGATTTTGTAATCTTTGGATTGGGCTGGTGAGGAGAAGACGGATACTTTGTCATAAGAAAAGTGTAGATTTGGTGGTAAAGGAGCAAACTTTGGATATGGTTTATTGGAAAAGAACACATATTTAGACTGAAAAAGGTGTTTTCCTCTGCTTTTTTTGTTATTTAGAGGGAGAGGAAGTTTTGGTGGAAGGACTGTGGCCATAAAAATCATCATTTGAAGCAGAAGAAGGCGGGAAAGTTCTAGCTAGAAATAAACTGAAAAATGGGATTTGAAGTTTGAAGCTTTTAATGCAAAACAAAAAAAACACTGCTTTTTCTAATCCATTTGGGCATGTGGAATACACGCGCCAAAGAGACATGTGATCTAGCTAATTTTAGCCATCGAAAACAGCTACTCTACTCCCACGGGTCTTGTATAAAGAACCTGTGAATCTAATCCACTTCACATATTCAGAGTCTCAAAGTTTGCCTGGAAAGGATGGTTTCTGCTGTTGTTTTTTATCCTCAGAACACTTTCTTTAACAAACCCTCATGTGTTTCTTTCAGCAAGCAGCTCAAGTTGGGGTACCCCATTTACTCTCTCAATGGTATTATCTCCTGAGCACTAATTGTTTTTGGAAGTTTGGCTCTTTATTTTTAATGCACATTATTTAAGTTTTTGTCTGACAAAGTAGTAGATTTTATAAATAGATTAGATCTGCTGCATGCTAAATTGCCTTCTAAATTACTGTATTTTGTTTGTTTTTCTTTGTCTTTTGTTATTGATGTGTGTGTTCATCATGTCATGAATTGAAAATGTTTAGATTCACTCACCATGAGCCAATATGTGATTGAGTTGTTGAGATCTATGTTAATAGGTGCAAAAGGTGTCGCTTGTATCCATCTCTTGTGTCCGGGAGAATAAATCATTTTGTGTTGGTGAGCTTGTATTGTGTTTAAGCATATGAGTTTCCCTCGTGAATTTGATGGCCCATCAAACTATTCATGGAATTCGAATGAAGGTGTCCGGCATTAGACTAGGTAGAGTGGAAACTTTAGCTTAATATTTAATTAATACACCTCTATGGTTATAACAGTTGTCATCACTAGATGCCATCAAGTCAAGGTTTGCATCTTCCAAACCTTGACAATTTGGTACTTGTATGCTGCTTTCAGTGGTTGTTGGTAATCCACGAGTCCCCTCCGTGTTGAGACTGTCAACAGCACAAACCGCATCATCTTTGATATTCCAGAAACATTTCATTGTCAGACAATGCTTAACTTCTTTGCTAGACTTTATTCCCTTGTCATTTCATTGACTTGTCAAGAACTGGCTTTCGATGCATGTGTTGGTACTGGGCCAAATCATTTTGTGAGCTTCAAACTAAGAGCTCATTTTTTGATGCAGCTTGTTAAATTTGGCTGAGATTGCAGATGGGTCCTTGGCTTTTGCTTCACAGAATGGTGTGCTTCAATCTTCTGATAGAAAACTTCCCTTGTCATCTAACCAGGAGGAGATAATGGCCCTTTTCAGACGGATACAGTATTCAATTTCGAAGGGAGAGTCTACCGCCACTGGGAAGAAGAATGCTGGCAGGTCTGAGAAGTCCCCTACCGATTCAATTCTGGAAGTCATTCTCCGTTCAAGGAAGCAAGTAAAAGGTAATCTAGATGGATATGCTTCTTTCAGTTTCAGACCAATGTTTGTTACGAGATAAAATCATTTTACATGCGTTTCTAGGAGGAATGTTCTTTAGGTTATAAGGTTTTTTCTTGCACAAGAGAATACTATCTATCATATTAAAAAGAAAACCAGTTCTCTTAACACACATTTGTTTTTTGTTTATATTGGAAACCCTTGTAGACATAACACAAATTTCCTTTCGTTGTGTTCGTTCCCTTGTGGTGGTGAAGAAAATTTCGTTATTGTCTCCTTAACCACTTATCCCCTGGATGATTAGTATCGTTACCAAATTTGCTCGATCACTCCTACCACAATGCATGTGGTTTGTTGACTCACTAAACATGTCTGATTTTTAGTTTCATGATTTATCGTAGACACAAATACAGTTACGGAAGGAAAGAAGGTCCCAACACACAAACGAAGTGTACCCAAGGTCCAGAAGATGCAAGCACGAAACGCCTTGGTGGATTTTAAGTTAACCAGACCACATTCTAATTTCACAAAGAAGTTTTCGATACCATCTCCATCAACGCCAGGAGAAAAGAATGCTGAGCTGAATAGTGAAGCATCAGAGGCCAAAGCCAGCGGCAGCATATCAGAGTTGCCAAGAGTAGAGGAAATGAAACTGGCCGAGCTGAAGGAACTAGCAAAGTCCAGGGGAATAAAAGGTTACTCGAAGTTGAAGAAAGGTGAGCTTCTGGAATTTCTGAGGCCCTAAAAAATGAGGAGTGCTTCAGCGAGAAGATAGGCAATCTAGCTGCTGGAAACCAACTTACGTGGCAGCAAGAAACTTAAATTCCGAGAACATAGTGTTTTCTAAATGCAGTTCCTGTGTTATTCTTGGCCCAGATTTCTTGACATTGTTTTACTTTTCCTCCATTAAGGTTGTCTGGTTCTATACTTCATTTGAGTTCAGTGGTTTTACATATGAAGCATATGAAGCATGGAAAGTCTCCAAGGGACGTAGTGTGATGGTAGTAAAGGATTTGAGATTTGTACAGCAGTAGGTCTTGAATTCAAGTTAGGATATGCATTTATTGTAAGGACTTGGAATAGTCAGTGTTTTACTCTAATTAAAAAAAGCATGGATGGATAAAAATTTTGCTTGCATCCATTGTCAATAGTCACCAGATTGCCTCCAAGAATACCACTGTCCCTTTTGGATCAAGAAAGCCCAACGTCCCAGATTTCCCTACTATAGGATACGCACACAGACGAACAGTAGTACATTATAATTCAAGCAAGCAACACCCAGCTGGCTGCTAGCACAAATCAATTCTTTTGAAGAGACTGGCGACAGAATGTGCAGTCCAACCAGGTTGACACCAAAATTATTGGCATAAACTAAGGTCAGACACGCCACAAAGCCGTGGAAGGGGAATACTGGACGCATGATATCTGCATAGCCCAACTCCAATATATTAATAGCACAAACAGCTGAAACTAGAACACAAAAAATCATTGAACTTAAGATTCCACCAGTTCAATTATCTCTAGATGAAAATTATAAGTTCAGGTACACATACTCCTGGGACATGTTAAGTTTTTAAACTTAAGTGGTGGAGAAAAGAACTGAGATCCACTATTCTGGGACATGTTAAGGATGATTCCTTCATGTTTGATCTGGAACCATTTCATTGCATCCTCCTTTGTATTCACCAGCAATTGGCTTGCACCCGCGACGGCGAGCCACACAAAACCCACGGCGTTCCAAAAAAAATGCAAGCCTGTTCATACCTGAGAAGGGATGATAAAGCATTATGGTCAGCATACAATACCAGGTCAAGTCATTAAAAAAAAACCCATCGAGCGAACAAAATTATCTTGGTTTTCCTGTGATTTGATTTTAATAATACTTAACATCTCCATATTTTATTTATTATCCTTTTACATTTTTCATTGAACGAAATGAGTGGTTTTGTTATCTTAAAAGTTAAAAAAAAAAAAACACTAAAATAACTATATATGATTACATCTCCCACTTTTACAAGTTAAATACTCTATCACAATTCTCGAATAGATCACAATTCTCTCTTTTTTTGAAAGAAATTAAGTGAGTCTCGTTCTCTCTCCTTGAAATTAGAGAAAATGAAAGTATGACCTTAAATTCATTCAAAGTTTCTTTTTTTTTTTGGGTGGTTGGTAAGTAAGTACAATTATAATTAGGGATGGATTAATCAACTACTAGTATAGTAATAGCAGTGTAATTATAACCATACAAAACAAACAATAAAATAAATATTATTTTGAATAACCATGTTCAATTACATTTTTAAAAAATTATTATTTATTGTTGCAGTTGAATTTAAAAAAAAACTTAAAATTAATAATTTTTAATCATTTTAATATATTAATATCAAAAATTAATATATGTATATATATATATAAACAAAAAAAATAAAAAGATAACTTCCACAGCGCCTATAAAAGTCTAATAAACTAAAAACACTGTAACAATGGTTAAAAAAACGAATAATAGTGTTTTTTAATTAAGAAACTTGTATTTCTCTATGTCTTAGATCTACCATCGTAGAGTGCTCTTATGTAAAGTAAATTTGCCAAGCAATTGCACTTGAGTTTTTGAACTTATTATAGTACTACTAGGAGGAGGAGGAGGAGGAAAGCTGACGTAGAAGATCTATGAATAAAAAAAAAAAAACAAGAACAACAAACCGGAGCTCAGATGCATCGGAATGCTAACTTGATAAGCAAAAAGATTCATGAATGAGACAGTATATAATTCACACGTGTTCTACTCAAACACTAGCCCGAGACCTAAGACTAAAAGATGGCAGCATACCTGACAGATGGGAAAAATGATATCCTTTTGCCTTTTGAGCTCAGGGTATTAAAAAACTCTTTATAGCGACTGCTGAGGAGAACGGAGGGGGAGGGGGGGTATTGACAGGAGAAAAAGCAGAACACGTGAGTTGCACGCTTGTCCTCTGAAAAGAGACATCACACGCAAGCCCTTTTTCTATATTAGAGTTTTGTCTGCCGCAAGCCCTTTTTCTATATTAGAGTTTTGTTTGTCTTTTTTAACTATTTGGCCAAGTGATAAGTATTTGGGATTAAAAAATTTATTTTCCTTTATTTATTTATTTAAAAAAAAAAAAGTAAAGGATGATGTATTTTTTTTTTTTATTTACGTGAGGTGTCCGGGCCAGCTTGCGCGCACCACGATTAATCCCCACGGCCCACTGAATACCCTGCAAACCCAATAGGTATATAAAGCACCGCGAGGGTGACAGGCGTACGTGGTACACGCAAGCTGGCCCGAACACCCACGTTAATCTAAAAAAAAAGTTTTATTTGCCCTTTATTTATTTATTTTAAAAAAAAAAAAGTAAAGGACGATGTATTTTCTAAAACAGCAGCAAGCCCCTTCCACCGCTAAGTCAAGCCCTAGTTTGTGGACGATGTATTTTCTAAAACAACAAATGATGTGTCTTCTAAATCAACGAATGATGCACCATTTACTCCCCTAGAATTTGGTGACCGGAGAATTTCTGAAAAGTTAAGGTATAAGTATTTTATATCAAAAGTTTATTTTTAATCTATTTTTCAGTTTAAAACATTCTAAATATTTAAATAAATTTATTTATGGTTTTAAGTTACACGAAAACTTTAGAGACTAAAATAAAAAATTCATTCATACATAAAAAAAAACTCAAATTCAATCCTTGATGTTTCAATTAGTTTAAATCAATAAAATTATCAACTCAATGTTTTAATTTATTTTTGATATCACTAAAATCCTATATCAAATCAGTAAAAATAAATTATCAAATTTAATTTTAAATCAATTTAATATAAAAAGATTAGATTGAGAAAAAATTCAAGTAACTAAAACAAATTAAAAAATCAAAAAAATAAAAATAAAATATTATTGGTAACTATTGCAACCCACATTGGATTATATATTTTTCTTATGTTGTATTTTCATTATTTTTTTAATATTTCTTCATGATATTTGGAGAGTCGGTGAGGAATCGTCACACGTTGTTAAGTAAGAAAACATAATCTACGATGTTTCCAATGGTACCAAGAAAGTTCACTTTCAAAACTCAATGGTCGCTATACGCACAACCACAATATGACAGCGTTCCTCACATGTTAGCATAGCATGTGTATTCCACTTGTTAGCCACCTTTTCCTTCTTTGTTTTTTGTCTTAGTTTCAGATTCTAATTATTTTAAATCAATAAAATTATATTTTATTTTGTGAAATTAAATATTAAACTAGTAATTTTTTTTCTTGACACTGTGAAAACCTCATATTAAGCTAACTATATAAATCATCAAGTTTAAATTCAAATCAACTCAACGTAAAAAAAATTAAATTAAAAATAAATATTAAGTGATTAAAAAAATCAAAGGATAAAAAATAAAAGAAAAAACAATGAGCTATTATAATCTATGGTGAATGGTGTTTTACTCCACAATAAAACTCTTTCTTTTTAATTAATTTATTTTAATGTCGTTCTAGCTATTCGTTTTGTCCATCGTGTTGACTATCGAGAACTAGGAATTTTTTTCTGAGATTTTGGGCAAGAATCTTGTCTCATATGTTGTTGTTTCAGCTTCACCACGTATTGCATCTGGCTGTATGGTTTGTGCGTTTTTCCTTTCTTTTTGGTTCTTCCGTTACATTCTCTGGTAAAGGGGGATTGAAAAGTAGTGGATTCTAGAGTACACGATCCCTGCTAATGCTCCATTTGACGAGGCAAAACTCCAAGATCGCGGGAGAATGGAAGATTGCAAGGGATGCAATGGCAATATTGTGGCCCCTTTTCGAAGCTTTCTACACTAGTAGCTCAGTGATGTGTGGCTGGAAGAGCCTCCCATTTTCGAAGCTTTCTACACTACTAGCTTAGTGATGTCCCATTTTCGAAGCTTTCTACACTAGTCAGCTTAGTGATGTATAGCTGGAAGAGTCTCAAGGGTTTACCCCAACAACTGGAGCATCTGGCATAAGAATCCCCAGCTATTCAGTGTCATTCGAAGGATCAAATGTACAAGTCCAATAACCCATGCAGAATCCGCCAAATCAAAGCTCATGGGTGAAATCAAGGCATCGCTATGGCTTGGCACAAAAATAAGCTAAAGACACAAGCGACAGTTACCCAGCTAATGACCAAAACGTCATGTTGTGAAGCGAGGTTCAAGGAAGAAGTAAAAGACAAGGAACACGCAACCTGACTTTCCATTAATAAACAAATGTGTATGAGAGCACTCAGTAATAGTCTCCACAACATAGAACTTTGCTGTCTATGTAGCGACTTGGGAGATCTGGAACCTGAAATTTTCAGGCTAAATTATGAAGACCTAAAGAGTCTCCACAAGATCGTTCAATGAATATTCACATGGAGCAACTCCTAAGAGAAGGCATAAGAATGGCAATGGAATAAATTCTAAAACATTTTCACCCTAAAAAACCATGGAAGCACAAAAGCTATTACCAAGCAAGCCAACAGGAAGTTACAGAAGGGCTGTCCCCGCCAACACCCTCCACTGCTCTCTGATGAGAAACCAGTGCTCCTGATAAATCTCCTTTCCAGAAAAGGGTTCTCCCCAGCACCCTTGATATTCATTGCTGCCTCTCCACATATTTCACAGATTCTGCATAAAGACAATATGGAAGACATCTCAATGAATTATGAAAAATAGAAGAAGAAAATATTCTCTGCTAGAAAATCCTGAGAAACAGTGTAACACGGCAAATTAAAATAAAGATTGAATGGCAAACTAGGATAGCCCTTACGAATAGTAAACACAAGAAGATAAAATAGGCCTGATCCAATCTCAACATCAATAACATTTATACATATATAAGCATAATGGTCATACTAAACCTTGACTTTCCATGCTCCAAACATTTACCTGTTTCCTTTTAGCTTAAACCATGTTTCAGCACAATACACATGTGCAATGCCAAGATCATCTTTACATCCACAACCAATCTGAATTAGATCCATGGAATTGGTTGTGGCAGTAGCAGTTGCGTCAGTAGCTTCCAGCAACCCCTCGGAACTCAAGTGACATATCCTACAAACCCTTTCTCCGTCACGGTTATCCCTAAAACGTCCTCCTCCTGTTCCACCGCCGTCACTCGTCATAACAACCACACACGATGACTTCCCCACTTTGCTCACTTCCTTCTCTGACTCGTCCATTGTTCCCTTGCTTAACCTCATCTCATTGCCCCTGAGTTCCAATCTTTGGTTTCCTCCATTAATTCCCGCATTCTCTTCAGGACCTATCGCGATCAGAGTCTCAAGCACAGCCCTAGAATTACTCGAATACCAACCTCTTCCTCGCTCAACTTGATTTAATACCTCACCATCTCCAAGCCCATGACGTGTTTCTTCATTTATCATTCCACCTCTGAGCCCCAACTCCTCATCTTTTGCCCCCAACTCCTTATTTTCTCCATCAACACTTGAAGTCGCCCCTGAATTCATCACAATAACAGTCTCAAGTACAGCTCCATTAACCATGTTAATTGTATTTGCGACCGTTCCTTCATTCATTGACTCTTCAATTCTTTTCCTATCACTTGTTACCTGACTTGCCACTCTCTCACTGGATCCCAACCCCTCAATATTGGCATTCAAAACCCCAGTTTCCACCACAGCAGCCACCTTCTCTCCTGAATTCATTACCTTTAAAGTCTCTCTGGCAACCCCATTATCCAAGGTGCTTGAATTTCCACTCAAATCACTGACACTGACAATCCTTCCCCGATGCACTTGGTCCAAATTCCCAATAATTCCTTTGTTTCCTTGTGTGTCTTGATCCATTACTCATAACAAAATAATCTCCACCTCTCTAAATGACTTCCAACGAAAGAAAAAATTCCTCAATTATGAACAGCCAAACTCAGATATCAACAAGAAGACAACAGCACCTCTATTGGTAGCGAACAACAAACAAAAGAAAAAAACCTCACGACTCCAAAACCTCCAAAGAAACCAAAAACCTTCAAAAAAAATATAAAGATAACCCAAGAATTGAACAAGCTTAATAATGGTAAATATAACTGAAAGATAATAACTTCGTAAAGAAAACAGTGCCTAGATAGTTTACCTACTCCTTTCGATAACTTGGAATTTAATAAAACCTGCCGCCATGTCTCAACAAAAAAACGTTTACTTCCAGGTTCAACTGTAATTAAGTTCACAAAAGAGAGATCTATCTATCTTTAAAGCAAAGTTGTCTCGTCAATTTAACTTAATCCGAATGTTGTATCTATGGACACAGATTTCTATGTGTACAGTGTGGGGCAGGTGTTGTTGAGAGAACGTGAAGAGCTTTGGTGGAAGAAAATAAATGGAAAGTGCATAGAAGCCGTTAATAAGGGTTAATTAAATGGAAATAATAATTAGTGATCACTTAATTAGGAATATAATTATTGGTATTAGGATTATTAGGATTTATTCATAAGCCGGGAGTGAATGCTGATAAGATCTCCTATTTGTTTTCTATCGATGGTAAGTTTTAATTCATGGCTTGTTAGGGATTTTTCACAAAATTTGGTTAATTCAATAGTACTATAGTAATTAATTGAGCATTTAACAGAGAGTTCTTGTTTTTTTTTTTTGTTTAATTTCTTCTCTTTCGAATAAAATAATAATCTTGTACTTCTGACTCAGTTTTAACAATCCTCACACTAAGAGGGCATGAGGAGGTAAGATTTCCATTGACTGGATCATACGTAGTTTGCCTAAATCAAAGTTGAAATACAAGTCACCTTTAAAACCAAAATAATAATAATAATAGTTGTCAATTCATAGATAACTTAATTAAAAAGAATTTATTTTATATCTTAATCATACCGTCTAGTCAACTTTCTATATCAAGATTAATCCTTTAATTAAACCCTTTTGTGTATCCGAGATATACACACACACATATGTCAGTAATTACTCTCCTTCAATTACTAAAATTTATTTGATTCTGTTTAATTTTATATTTTAAAAAATAAAAATATATTTTTATAATATATTTTTAAATAAAAAATAATCACAACCATAATAACATAATAGCACAGACATACAGAAAATGGTAAAATCTTATAACATACTTGTGACAAGAGAAAGAGACAAATGGTGGAGTGGGGTTGAATTTGAGGAAGGAAGGAAGGAGACGACACGCAAGGAATTATGTATGTTTCAAGCTTATCTGAGTTTATAACCAACGTACGTAACGTCTTGAAGAAGAAAAGGAGAGGGGAGATGTTGTCTCTGTCTAATGCTTCTTCTTCTTCTTCTTTTTCAATTTTTTTTTTTTTTATCTTGACTTGCTTGCAGGAGGTGGTATCAGAGCATCACCCTCACACCCACGGGTTTCTTCCACGGAGAGCATGGAAAAAATTCCTTACGTCCCGTTTGCCGGCCTCTCTCTTGGTCTTTTCGTTTATTTATTTATTGTTAAATAAAGCTCTGAAATGCAGAAAAGAATCGAAAGTAAAAGGTCTCTCTCATTTACTAGTTTTATATATATATCATGTCATGTCCTATCCCAGATGCATGCTTCACCCCAGGTAAAAAGTAGGTATCTTTTATCATATTTTTTTAATGTATTAAAATAATATTTTTGATTTTTAAAAAAATTATTTTCGATATTAATATATTAAAATAATACAAAATTATATTTAATTATTTTTTAACAAGTAAAAATCGAATTTTTTGGGCCGCCATCCTACATGGGCGAAATGGTTAATAAATGAAAAGAATGGGTACTCGTGCTAGGGTTCGTGCACCTGAATCAAGCCCCGCTTCTTGTCTAAAGTGATAATGTATTGTAGGGTTTTTTTTTTTATATATATATATATATATAAACTGTTCATTTGTCAGTATTTTTGCTATGGAAATATGTTACCCCTTGGGGAGTGGTTCGGCCAGCAGATCGACTTCATCTCAAGTTGCTCACTAGTGTGTGTTTCTTTTCTCAAATCCAAAACGGTACTAAATTTACGCTATTTTTTGCTACTCTGCAGTCGTCACATGGAAACCGGCCCTCTTTCTTGAAATTTGGATCCCCTCGTCAAAAGCAGGCGCAATTGAAGGACCGACCATTGCTTGAAAGTCCAGAGGCGGTGAGACCATAGAGGCAGAGGAGGGTGCTAACAGAACAAAAATGGAGATAGAGATTATTATCTATTTTTGCATTTTCACTTCAGTACGTGAATCCGAACTGAACCCCAGCTTGAGCATAAACCACGCACAGATAATGATCAGACTCCCTTCTTCTCCACAAGTAAAGGACAGTAGGCCGCCCCTACTGATTGGTGTCAGCCAGGTTGCAGAAGTAACAGTCTTCAATTATGAGGAAAAGCAATGCGGCTAACAACAGAATATAGAGGTGGCATGTGCAATGACAGCCACCCATTAATCAAGCTGTATGGTAGGATTTAAGAGGAGGGAAGCAGGTTCTTGGTAACGATGGTCAATTATATGTTGCATTTGAATGCCATGTGCGTTGATCCTATAAGTACAAGCGGTGGATGAAAAGCATGTTAGCTGGGGGCTGGGGTGCTCTAAATGAATATTAGAAGGCCCAGAAGACGAGTATCTTGTCTGGAGTTTCTCTCAGTGATGATCAAGAAAGCAGTTTTTCCACCACATGCAAGATTTAAGAACATTTTAGCATCCTTCTAAAGCAAACCAATTCCCACTGCAAAATGCAAAGTATAAAAGAGTTTTTTGTGTGTAAAATGCTGTTCTACAAAATGCAAAAATCATTTACGGTTGAATTTAGAAAGGGAAAATTATACTATTTTCATACTCAATGAAAAATCATTTTACAGTTGATTTCAGAAAAGGCAAACTATACCAGGTTATCGAGGTCCGGAAAGCTCCATTGCTTCAATGATGAAAGAAGATTCCTCATGAACATCGCTACAATGCCTTGAGCAATTGCATGCCCTTGCCTCACCAATACTAGTTGCAACATGTGATTCCTCAATTGCAGGCTGCCCAACAATACCTTGTAGGACCTTCAAGACTTCCGACATTTTTGGCCGAAGGTTAGGATGTGACTGAGTACACTGCAGAGCCAAATCCACAGCTTTTTCCAGCTCGGACACATCAAAACATCCCTTCAGATCCCTATCCACTAGCACTTCCAACCTCTTCTCCTCATGCAAAGTTCTAACCTGTAAAATTCAGCCACCATTTACAATTTTGTATTTGGTGCAGCACATTAGGAGAACATATGGTGGATTATAATTCAGTACAGAGGTTCCCTTTAAATAAATAATGTCTGGTTTCCAGTCACCAGAAAGCAATCATAAAACTAGAAGATACATGTTATGGTACTTCATAAGTAACCAGCATCAGTTCATAGCCGCTGTAATCCTCCATACTTGAGAATTCATTAAGCAGGCATTAAAAACCCATTCCTGAACATGGCACTGACAATTATGGGCAATGCAGCTCAAGAATGAGTTGGCATAATTTCCTATAAATGCCACGAGAACAAGACATGCAAGTTATCTCTACACAATTTGTAGAAAGGAGTTTGGAATATTCAGATTTTGGCCATCATTTTTCAATTTCAAGTTAAGAGGGCTTCTCCAGATAGATGCTAAATACCAGAGAAATTATTCATTTGAGTCTTGATTATGGTTAATCATGGATTAACAGGAATATAAACATCCATTACCCCCATATAAATTTGTAAGGGTGAGATTTTGTAAATTGTAAACTCAGTGGTAGAGGACAATATAGAGAAATAACTTACCCAGTCAAGAATCATTCCCTTCTGAACCTGGCCATTTCCAGCATCTAATGCCTTTTGCCCTGTTATAAGTTCCAAAAGTAGTATGCCAAATCCAAAAACATCAGTTTTATCGGATGATTGCCCTGTTGAAAGATACTCAGGTGCAATGTGTCCTACAGTCCCCCGCACCGCAGTTGTCACATGTGATTCTCTAAGATCCAACAACTTAGCAAGACCAAAGTCCCCAACTACAGCTTCAAAACCTTCATCAAGTAAAATGTTTGCAGCTTTAACATCCCTGTGAATTATCTTTGGATTGCATTGTTCATGCAAGTATAGAAGTCCACGGGCAGCCCCAAGTGCAATGAGTAGCCGTCTGTTCCAATCCAAAGAAGGTTTTTCTCGACAGGTCTCTGCAAAGGAGAATGGAACAAATAATGATGTAGCAGAACCAAATTCTTCACCTATAATTGGTTTTGTTTCGATTGAAGAAACAAAGAGAAATAGAAAAACAATTTATTAAAGCAACAACCATGAATAAGATGTTCGTTCATCAACCAATTACCAATACTATTCAACAAATACTATTAAGAAACAGACAGAAAATTCATTAAAGCAGATATCTTGTAAAAAGGATTAAAGAAAAATAAATGGCTTCAAATATAACTAAAGAAAAGATTCAGCACGATTTTCTACTTGAAGTACTAAAAAGTTGATATTGGAGAGGGATAAGAAAGAGTATGTTGAGCGGGAAAAACAAAAACAGTTTCTTCAGAGAACCAATAAGGACTTTAATGCTCAAATATTCCAACTGTTTAGTGCTGTAGATTTTAATGAGAAACAGCCTCCATTTGCAATAGACCAGAGAATAATAAGAATCCTACTCTCCCAAATGAACTAATAGTAAGAGTTTGAACGAGAAAAATGAGGCAAACCTCTCAGGCGGTCAGCAACACTGCCATTTGGCATGTAAGGATAAACAAGCAACCTCTCATCAGGTGTCATGCAGAAGCCATACAAACATAAGAGGTTTCGATGTAAAGCCAACCCAATCATTTCCACTTCAGTTTGAAACTGCACTTCTCCAGTAAAATTTGGATCCTTCAGCCTTTTAACTGCAATGAAAGTTTTATTTGGGAGACATCCTTTGTAAACCACACCATATCCACCTTGCCCTAAGATATTTTTTGGACTAAAGTTGTTTGTAGCAATTTGTAGTTCACGGAAAGAAAATCTCTTCAAATGACCAATATCAAATTCATAATCTTGTTGCACTGCAAAATGCAATTATCACAATTAATCATATTGCTTTGAGTGATTTATTTCAATGGCAAAAATTAGAGAAGCACTCAGTTTGGAAGTACCATATGATATGAAGAGTAGACGAGATCTATACCAATGCACCCAACAGACAAGCAGCATGACAGAAATTACAAAAGTGCAGCTGACGCCTATGGCAACAGAGAGCACCCACCGATGATGACTTCTGGCTTGCTCAGATGAAAGTGTCTCTGCAAGTAGGACATCAAGCATTTGTGGTCACATTGTTAAAGTGCATCTCTTTAAAAGAACTTTTAACCAGCTAAAAGTACATTTACCATTCACTGGATTTGAGATACCCGTGCAATTTTGTGCATGTGAGGAAGTGCAAAGATATCCATTCCCAGCAATACTGCAATAAAAACATGCACACCATCAAATGGCTGCGAACAGAAATGATGGACACCACTGGTGAACATTAATGGGACTAGAAGTTATCAACTCCCATCCAACCATTTCTACAGATATTGATTTTTTTTCCCTTCCACGAGAGATTTTCTAACATTTTGATGAAAAGGGAACTGCAGTAGAAACTGAAACCTGCAATCTGCGTCTCATTCTATTTAAAAACAACTTTTCTTGACAATTGCAAGCATTTTGCATGCTCAACGACATCAGATAACTCTTTAGTGTTTTTGCGAAGATCCAATAGATTGGATCAACGCTAGCCCAGAATAACCTGAGGTTCCTAAAAGCAAAGTAAATTATACTGGCCAAATATGAGGCATTTAAGAATCAAGGAGATAATTTTTTTTAAATAATCACGGTTCTATTAAAGATCTCACCTGTAACCTTTTGCGAATATTTTTGGTGTTGGACCACTAAGATTGTTAAATGATAAATCCCTGCCAAGCATAATGAAGTAAAGTTAACATTTAAAAAACACTATTTGAGGTAATATTGTTGACATGTATGGACCACATACAAGAATGAAAGTCCAGTAAGATTGGCCACCAGTCTTGGAATCTGCCCAGTTAACTTGTTTTTACTGAGTCGCCTGGAAAAGTTTGCATATTAAACTTTTACAGAACACACACAAATTATCAAAAGAAACATTAAAATAAAAAATCAACAGGAATTGAAATGCCATGTGTTGAGGTCAAGCAACTTACAAGTAACTTAGATGGGTCAGAAATCCCAAAGAGCTCGGAATACCACCAACGAACTGGTTACCTGAGAGGTCAAGAGTTTGAAGATCTGAGAGCTTTCCGATCTCTTCTGGAATGGGACCAGATAAATGATTGTTCTGCAATAACCTGCAAGCATAGCTCATGAAGATTAGCTAGGTAATGCAAGATACGATATCAAAACTTGAATCTGTTGCATTTAATTATGTCAAGCAACTGGAACAAAAAAGAACATCATCCTCGATAGAGCATCAGCAAATTCAAAAGAATAGCATGGTTTTACAATACCAAGGCTCATAAGTTATTACAAACAGAAACGGTTTTCAAATTTCCTACGTGGACTTCTTAACTGGAAAATTAAGTTAGTCCAGTTTGTCATAATAATCATAACAGCAACATTTCATTAGCCATGAGACTACCACTAATTAGCTTATACTCCAAGAAAAGAACAAAAAAAACACACGCACACGCACACGCACTTACAGAAACAAACAAGTGAAGAACTCAGAGAAAGAAAGTAATAGGGGCTCACATTGTTCTTAGGTGACTCAAATTCCCGATACTAGGCGAAAGAGTTCCTGATAATCTTGCACTTCCCATTTCCCTAGCAACAACAATATCCAGAATAAAAGATTTAAAAATATGAAGATTTTATTACTAAACAAAAAGAAGTTCCTCACTTACAGGGAGAAGACGAAGCCTTCAAAAGAGCAACCGACCATATTCCAAGTGCACGGATCAACAGAGTTCAAATCCCAACCGTTCATAACACCGGACTCATCTCTCATTTCTTTCTTCACAGCCATCAATGCTGCCACTGAATCCACAAACCAACCAAGTAAACAAAAAGAAAGAAACGAAACACAAACCAACAGTAACAAATCACATGGTAGTGTAATGCAAGAGCATTTTGAATATAGAGTTTGAAAGTCATACCTTCATAGTTAACACCCTTTGGAGAAAGAAGACTACCAGTTGCTTGAGCAAAATGCACCCAAAAGACTGCAAAAAAGATGTGGAACAAAATGGCCGCCATTACTTCCTGTCCCGATGAGAAAGCCAACTTTTTTTCTGACAGGAGTATAGCAAAAGAGCAGATAATAGGACTAATTGGATTTGGATGTTGTCTTCATGTCCTCAAGACAAACGCCCCACCTGCTACCTTACTACGACTATATTGAATCTTTCTAATTGCCTAGAAAATACGTAAAAATAAATTCACTTGCAAACTAAACCATGAAAAAATAAAAATACTGCTACAATAACATGGAAACGCGTTTTTTTGTTTTTTTATTCAGTTTGATGGAAGATCGAGAGAGAGAGAGAGTAGAAGAATGGCTCTGATAGCGTTTGGCGTCCTCGAGATTCGGGCATAACATGCATGGTCCCCTTGTCTCCATTTTCCTAATATACATGCTAGTAGTTGAGTCATGGCCGTAGTAGACATTTACTTTGACCCTTTAAATTGAATCAGCTGCTCAGATTAAGCTACTTCAAATTCTTTATGAGTTTATGATCTCGGAGCAAACCCTCCTAGCGCGAAAATACGTGTAATTGGAGTTGTGTCGGCGGCAAGTTTGAATGCCGTATAGCAGCAAAGATGAGCAGAAACAATTTTGTGTGGTTCAATGATTTTTATATTCTGATATAAAAATAAAAAATCTAAGAAAAGATCATTTGTATATATTTTATATTTTTAATTAAAAATATTTTTGCACCTTGAAAGAATCCCAAGTTCCATAATTCCATCTCTACCACATTGCCCGGATATATTTTTACCGTAAACACTATCCTGCGTCTTCAGGTGACAACACAATTTATCAGAAAGGTTAGACACCTTTGAACTCCAACAAATCATCATCAGGGGACAGGGAGACCAGTGAGTTCACTGAATGAGACCGGTAGAGTTACTCATAAACCATACAGGCACTGAAATGCTTGTGCATGATTTGGAACTGCTATCGGCTACAGGGCTACAGCCATTATTTGGTGGTTGATGACCAGTAACTCACCTCTCCAAGTCTAAACCATCTTAAGCAATCTTCACATGCTATCAAACCCATAATTTTCTTGTGCGTCTCAGGTTCTTGCAGCTGGGACATCAAAAGCTAGAACATGCTGAGGATTAGATTTGCAAAACTAATAAACTAAACTTGGGCTCAAACAAAGAGAAGCATTTGATGCACACAAACATTGCAAATATTAAACAGATGGTGAATGAAAACCCAGTAACTGAAGTCGAAATACAAGGAAGGAACAAGTACGGTTACTACAAGAGAACGCAATAGCATTACTTTTGCACATAAAGCGAGTGATGACAATTGTCTGCAATTAATTCAAGTCAGCCACCACAAATCAACAAAAACTAATAGGAAACAACACGGGCAAGTAAAAACAAACCCCCCACATCCAACACCAGGGCCCACCCCTTTTCTTTGGGCCGTTATATTAGGGGCCTTCTTCCTAGCTATACGGCTGAACACTTCTCCACCTTTAACCTCTTGCTAGCAGCTATCTGATAAGTGCACCTCAGGCTATCTTACTATCAAACATGTACATAAACAAAAAGGGTTTGACAAAAGGGGGATGGGATTTGGGAGAAAAACGTGGGAGAAGAAAACATGAAGAAAGCACAGCTATCCAGCCGCCTGATCCATATGTATCCTGGTAGAGGGAATTGTTGCCGGTCAGACCTCACGATGAAATAACTGCCAGGTGTACCACAGAAATAACTGCTAGATATCAATCCCATACCACTTAACTTGCTTATGTCCCGGCCAGGTGCATAAAATTTAGACCCATTTGTCGTTTCACATGATCCGGTATCAACTTATTAACAAGCTCAGGAGAAGCCCCATTTAACTGTAAAGAAATAAACAATAACACAGAGTGAACAAATAGAATTACCTTGGCCAGTTGCATACCAAATAATTGGATAACCGAATTGCAATAAAACAACATGAGCAACAAAGAAATTGCCCAACTAAAAACAGTCCATCTTATGTTTGAATGTTTGCATTTGGTTTTTCTAAAAGGTCAAACATGAAAAAACAATCAGAAACAGAAAGTTGACATACTTCCTGTTTAAAGTTGAAGAGAGATGGTAAAGGGCGGCCATTTGGCAGGCGAGCATTGGGTTCTCGGAGTTCATCAAAGAAAGGGTGTGCACATGCTTCCAACTGTGATAAAAAAGTAAATTGTCAGATTTCAATGGGCAAACATGCAACCCAAGGAGCAAAAAAGAAGGTAACATCAAGATTTGTTTTTCTTCAAAAAACAAATAATGATGGCCATTTACTGCAGTTGAATATGAACAAGGTCATGGAGTTGCCACTTGACATGAATCTTGCACATCAACACACAAGGGAGAGAGTAAGGTTGAAACTACGTAAAGACAGAAAAAAGAATAAGAGAACTTGCACTCACCGCCGTGCAGCGAAGACTTGGTGAGTATTGCAGCAGTCGTGATGCAAGATCAATTGCCTCTGGAGGCATCCTCTTGTGGAAAACCTAAATAGATGAACAACTAAATGAAACTCTAATATAAATCAAATTGTTCCAAGGCATAAGATTATGGTACTTGAATGATCAACATTTTTTTCTTTGTGGATATCAACATGCACAAACAACAAAATATAATAATTCATAATATTTTAGCTGCAGGAAAAAGAAAGGCACCTCAAAGTCTTTCATGAAAAGGAACTAAATGCATACCTTGTGCCATGGGTGTGCCTTTATCTGTGGAAACCTAAAATCAGTATAATTTGGGTTCATACATCGAATTTCTTCTCTTGTTGGAGTGCCAAGAACCTGCAAAACAGTGTGTAAGATGCTGGCTCATGGCCATGTGAATTGCATTATTAAAAGCATCAATAAGCAACACGTACCTTAATAATATCTACAAGCTGGTCCACTGCATTTTCTCCTGGAAATAGTGGCTGGAAAAATATTCAAATTGCCAGCAGTCAACTACAAGTTACCATTTGGAAAAATGTCAAAAGAGCCGTCTTAAAATGCAATAAAAAGAACTGCTAACCTGGCCAAGGAGCAGCTCAGCAAGGACACAACCAGCAGACCATATGTCGATTGATGTTGTATATTCTGTGGCACCGAATATAAGTTCTGGAGCCCGATAGAATCGGGAACATATGTATGATATGTTAGCTTCACCTTTGACCTATTCACAGGGAACCATGCTTGTCAATGTATGGAACATTGTATAGAAAGAATGAGAAGCAATAAAATCAGATCATATCACACTGGCACTGAAAGCTTTCAAGTAAACAAGGGCTTCAACTTTAGTAGTCATTCAATTATTATTAGCAACTATAACCAGTACTTGCAGAACTAGATGAGCAGATAAAGTGGAGCTTAAATTTGGTCCACCAAACCAAACAAGTTCCTCAACCCGGCCATGAAAGATGCAAGTCACATGATAAATTTTTTCATTTGATAAAACAATTTACAGGTTTGAAATTCTGAGAGAGAGATATGAAGACATTTAGAATAAGGCTTTGCACAGCAATACCAAGACCTCCTTGACATGATACTCTGAATACTCAAGACACTCGTATGCAACAACTATTACTTGCATACAGAAATACTGAATTATTTGAATTGGTAGCCCTAAAATTGAAAGGAACCATATGATAAGAATACATTGAAAATCTGACACTCGATCAGATCAACTGTATGATATTACACACTGATTACCAAAAAAAACTAATCAAACAAGGATGCATAAAGCATTACATCAATGTTGCAGGAAACATTCATTTTCAAAGTTGTATAAATTTCATGGAAACAGAAGGCAAGTGAATTAACTGCAATGATATCCCTTTTGGTTAAGAACCAGGATAATATCCAAAAGACAGACTACAAACTATCTTGCCACTAAAAGAGTTGTAGTCACACAAAACAAACATGAGGAATCACAAACTAAAAGAAAGTCAGCATACCAGCACTTTTGCACTTCCAAAATCGCAAAGCTTAACCTGGTGAGTGAGTGGATCAACCTGCAGACAGCCAAGAATGACTTCAGATAACAGCTGCCATTTTTAAACATGCATTTAGAGTAAGGAAGCATACCAAAAGATTTTGTGGCTTTAAATCCCGATGGCAAACTCCAGGAACAGCATGGATATAAGCCAGTCCCCTGAAAATCTGGAAAACAAGAAAGCTATGTAATTAATACCACAAGGTTTATAATAAGGCAACAAATCAACTTCAGATGCAAGTGGCATGCAATACCTGGTACATGTAAAGTTTCACATAAATAAGCGGCATTGTTTGTTTTGCATTGCTGTAATGCTTCAACACACGATACATGCTCTCGGGAACATACTCCATGACCAAGTTAAGAAAGAGTTCATTGTTATTTGTCGTGGAAAAGAAACAGTGCTTCAGGGAAATCACATTAGGATGATCCATCACCCGCATTAGCTGCAATTCTCGATTCTTATATCTTCTGTCCTGCAAAACCTTCTTTATCGCTACAGTCTCCCCGGTTTCCAAACATTTTGCCTACAAAAAAGAGAGAGATCAAATGACCCTGTTCACAAAACTCTTTCTTAATCGTCAATTCCTTCACCAGAGAACACATTTGCATACCTGGAAGACTACACCAAATGACCCTGTTCCCACAACTCGCTCTGCCATGTAACTGATGGTCTACAAAAACCAACACATCAACGAAATTAATCGGACCATCAGCAAACTAAATCTCCAAAAATTTGCTTGAAAATCAGATATTGATTCTCAACAACCTATGATAACTACAGGAAAAGAGAGAACCCTTTGACAAAACAGAAACAAAGAGGTATTCAACAAGAAAAAAGTTACCTGCTTGGGCTCTCCATTTTTACCCCCAATTGTAGTCGAAATTATATGCCCGGTGACCGGATCATTCCCATCAGCAACACGGGTGGTCATTTCCTACAAAACACACGGACATCAGTGATCTTAGATCTATATAATAACTGTAATCACGCTTTATAAAAGAAAAAAAATTGCTCAGCTAGAGGAAACAAAAAAAAAAGAGAGATCTTAGATCATGATGATGAAGGAATATAAATCAAAATTACAAATTTCATGGTATGAACTCACCATCTAGATCTATTCTAGCAGAACTATTTCTACCAATCAAAGAAGCTAAAAGCTAATTTCCAAAAAAATGCAGGGAATTAAAGAAAGCCCAGATCTTAAAAATACACCCTAATGCAAAAGAAGATTTGCTTGGATGCTGAGAATAATAAAGAAAAAAATAAACTTTTTTTAAAAAAAAAAGCATCTAATCTTCTTGCAATTAGTTACTTCTTACCTTCTAAGACCCAAAATTAGAAAAACAAAAACAGAAGACAAAGCCAACTCTCTCATGTCTGATTTTCCCGAGGAAAATGCAACGATTTCAACATAAATTTAAAAGAGAGAGAGAAAGAGAGAAATTACCTTATCTTCAGCCATGTGTAAGAGAAAAGGAAAGAAAGCTGATGCTGATTAAATTTGTATTTGCCTCAGAAATTAGTAGAGAAAGATCATGTTAAGGCAATAATAGAGATGGCCAAAAAAAGAAGAAGAAGACGACCCAACAAAACAAAACACAGAGGATGAGAGAGAGGGGGTGTCAAATTAGACAGAGAGAGAGAAAGACAACATCAACAACGATTACAACAACAACAACAACAAGCCCATGTGATTCCAGCCCCTCTCTCTCTCTCTCTTCCTCTCTCCCTCTTTCTTTTTCTTTTTGTCAATTCTTTTCTTTTCTTTTTTCTTTTCTTTTGGTGTCCTCTCTCTCTCTCTGTCTATCTATCTACTTTCCGTTCTCTTCGCTTTTCTTTTAACCTCTGGTTTTGAGAGAATTACGATAATGGGATTTGATCCTTGATTTGTTGACAACGTCACAATTATTGGACGGCTGCTTGGACCTCAGTGTCCACCCCTGTTCCTTCCTTCCCGTTACCGTTAAATCCTAAAAAGAAAAGAGAGCGGTCTCTCTGTTTCTTTTCTTCTGCCCGTTGAAAAGGAAATATTCCTATCAGATCAAATTTTACTTGTGCTTTTACATAGTGAGATTCAACTTTTATTTGTTCAGTATTAATATATATTGAGTTTTTAAATTAATATTTCAATTTATATTTATTTACTTTTTTATGAATTTGAGATTACTCCCTATTAGAAGAAATAATTAAATTATCTTTAAACTCATGTTTGATATTACATTTCAAATATAAGTTGGGTAAAATTTAAAACATTTTATTTAAAATTATTTTTTTATATTTCTAAATTATTTTAATATATTAATATTAAAAATAATTTTAATTTCGATTGATTTTCAATTGAAAAACTTATAAAAAAATCATTATAGTATTTTTAGACACACTCTAATCTTATATCCTTTCCATTTTTCAAATCATAAAAGATTAGTTTCTCACTTCATCAATTCAGTTGGAGATTGGAATGAGCAAACTCCCAACTATGAGTGGACCAATTTTATGCTAGGATAATTTGTTTAAAACTTAATTAGTTTGATAATGTCTTGATGTTAAGACAAATAATAAAGTAAAACATGGGGCAAATCTTTATGTATACATCTAATTTACAAGAAGTTGTATGTTTAATTTATTTCCGCATATTGTAAATCAACTTATATGTTGAAAATTAGTTTATTGTATATTTAATGACTTCATAATTGTTTTTTTAGACTAGTTGAAAAATATATTTATTATGCAAGCATTTTGAGTATTTTGAGTAATGATTTGATAGTTGGATTTGAAAATAAGAAATTCATTGAGTTTATAACTGTGATGTGATGAATATTATTTTTTAAAGTATTTTTTATTTGAAAATATATTAAAATAATATTTTTATTTATTTATTTTTTAATTTTTTATATCAGCACACTAAAATAATAAAAAATAATTTAAAAAAATATAATTTAAAATTTTCAAAAAACATGATTAAATTGCAAAAACAAGCAATTTAAGCTATTAACATTGGTGTTTTGTCAAAAAGGAAACCATGTTTAGTATCCTGGAAAAAAAAATCCTATAATTTTTCCTCTTAAAAAGCAAAATACGTTTTCTTGAGATGACTTGATGGCTTTACTTAGATATTATTTGATAATATAGATGCGTATGAGGTTTAAAGTGACTCATAGAAAGATGTGCTATGTTTGGTTAAAATTAGATTTTATTTTAGTGGGATCCATTAAAAATTAAAGATACACTCGGGGTTGAACAAAAGCAAGATAGTTGAGCTTTGCAAATAGTAGCTCACATCATTTTTCAATATTCACCGATAAAACACACATCCTAAAAGGAAAAAGAAAAGGCATTGGAATATCAAACTTCTCAAAACCTCAACAATTCATCTAAAAAATTAGAGCAAAAATATCTTGCAATCTTTTCTTAATTGGTCAGATTCCTTATCTCTCTCACAAAAAATTTAAGATATTTGTTTTCTCTTACTATCTTTTCTTTTTTGTTGTGAAAAATATATTTTTTTTTAACTCAATATGCTTCTACAATATAATAATTTTGTAGATATGTTTTAAAAGGTAATTTTTTTTATTTTTTATTACTTTCACTTTGACCTATTTTTTTTTTATCTTATGGACTTGTTTTCTTCAAAATGAATACATGATCTGGCATCTCCTCATTTTGTCGTTCCAACAACAAAAAGAAAGTAAGTCTTTTTTTATTATTATTGTTTTTATATTTTTTTATTTATTGTTGATGAATTTATTTACAGATCTGTGTTAGTTTTGAAGGAAACTTGCATAGGAACAAAAAAAAGTGTTATAAAAGTGATTATGTGTTTATTTTTTACAAATATTTAACTAATTACATGTTTTAATAATACATGGATTAAAATTTGGGTGTTGCGTATTGTTTTTGTTTACAATATTATGAACGTTTGGTGTTGTGAGGTAGATTAATTAACCATTTGCATTAATGGGTTTGCTGCCAACATGAGAAAAAAATTGAGTGTTGTGAAGTAGATTAATTAACCATTTACATTTCTAGGTCATCTGTATTTATGAGTCTATAATATTGTAACCTTTATTGATTGTTCTTATTTACAGGATATTTTGATGGACCTTTTTTGATTTCATCATGTACTTTATTTTAAAGGATTTCGATTAAGTCTTTTGTTCATATGGGAAAAACTGAGAAAGATTATACAATGAGAGAGAGAGAGAGAGAGAGAGAGAGAGATGAGATGATATTTCAAGATCTGTAAATGGGATAATCAAAAAGATTTAAAGAGGAGTTCATGTTGGACAGCAGACCTGTTATGTAATTAGAAAAGCAAAGAAATAACTATTTGAATGAAAAATTTTACTTAGATAAATAAATACTCAATTATGATTTTGTGAATGTGAATTGGCTGAAATTAATATATAAGAAGAAATTAATTTTTTAAATTTGTACATTGATCAAATTAATAGACAAAAATATGTAATCCATAAGGTTCTTTTATTTTATTAATCATTGTATACTAACCAAATTGTTTTGTCTAATGACCTGTTACTTTGCAACGGTACAATTTTCTTTTAAGTTTTCACCCTTACATTATCGTGGCTCCCTCTAGCAATTGACTTTTGATAGAATGTTAATTAATTTAAGCTAATGTCATTATATATTACATTACATGTTTGATCTAACGACCATATCTATATTTGATGGTCTAAGTTTATTTTTGGGATTGGAAGTCATTTTCTTTTCATTTCTATTTTCTCAACTTCATTAATTTTTTGAGTACTTGTATGTTAAACATACTTGCATCAAAGATTAGTCAAATTCTAAGCATGTTATAATTCACTATGTTTGCTTTCAGATATATTATCCAACTAGGAATGAGAGGTTCTCAAATTATAGATAAAGTTGCTTGGACAAAAAAAATATTACATGTCTTTTGTGACCTTTTGCACCAAGGCTATTGATATGAAAATAAGATGAAATATTTATTTTGACAAAATTAGTTGGAAATATTTATTGATATCCTTTAAAGAATAAACTGGTCATATATTCACCAAGGCACAACTGAATAATAAATGGGATGGCTACAAAAATAATTAGAGGATATAAAAAAAGATCATTTCTGAAACTGATGTAAATTAGGGTAATGAATTAAAAACAATTTCTACTAGTAATAAGTGGTGGAAAGTAAAGATTCATGTTATTTGTCATGATCCTTAATCTTTAATTTGTATAAATCTTAGTTCAATAATTAATAAATTATTTAAATTTGGATGCAATAATTGTATTTGTTTTATGTAGAAAATAAAAGGAGCAAAAATGTTTAGGCAAGCTCGTATTGAATTGTCCTTACTTATGAAGTTTGACAGAATATTCTCAAACATTGTTGCTACTGGAGATTATGCATGGACACCATGATCTATAGTCTTGTGTGATGATAATGTTGGCGTTGATGGTAATTAAAATGTCAATGTTAATCAGCCTGATTTGGAAGAAGAAAACGGTGATTTAGAAGAAAATAAAATTTCAAATTTTCCTGATGATGTTCGTAACATGATTAGAGGAATTAATATGTCTATTGGTAGCAACACATGCAACAATGATAAGAGAAAAGAAAGAGAACGTTATAAGGTTTAAGTTAGGGAAAAAAAGAATTCTAAAATTGGGTTACAACTATTATCATATTGGGATCAATTAATTGACAACATGTTAAACAATAGTGATTCAACATCTACTTGCAAGATAGGAAAAGATATAATATTCTTGAGATTATAAGCAAGTTTCGCTCAATTAAAGGATGAATTCCTGTTTGTTGTTGTGGAAACCTTTTTGGTAGCGTCACCAAATATAGCTCGGCTTTGTGGGTCAACTTGGAGATCTCATGACTCAGTTCCTTGCCTAGTTGTGTTTTCAAGTCAAAATGGGTAAGAGCTGACTAGATGCAATCTAATTAACTTAAAGGGTCCAAATATCACTCGATCACAATCTAATTTGACTTCAAAAAAATTTTTCAAGACCATGTTATTATAACCCTTATATAGATTGAGATGATAACATATTTGATCAACTTGGGCTAACCAAGATTAGCCAATCAAACTTGCACCCAAGTCATGGATCTAATAGGGTCCAATAACTTTTTTTTTTAGAATCTATATTTTATTTGATCAAATAATAATAAAAATAGATATGTATAGGAAAGCCATTAAATAAGTTTTTTAAAATAGTATTATGAAGGATTATATAAAAAGAATACTCATTAATGTAATAAAAAGAAGGTCATTATTTTATTAAAAAATAAAGTAAAATTTGAAAAATATTTAATAACATAATATACAAAATAATTTTTTAATGAATTACAATTAAAATTAAAAGAAAAAAAAACAGGTTAAAAGGAGGGTAAATGCATGGCTCAAGGTGGTGCAATTAAAAAAAAGTTAGACTTGCATGCTTGATCCCCCCCCTCCCAATTGGATGGCTGACACATTGTCCATCCATTTTTTTTTTTTAAAAAAAGAAGCAAATAATGTTATGTCTAATGTTGCAAATGATATGTTATCTATTTAACCAGATTTTAACTACAGGAAAGGTGGTTGAAAAATCAGGTAGGGTTTTTTGGACCTAATAAACTATTTTCAACTATTTCCACAAAAAGTACCTAATAAATACTCTTAGTACTTTAATAAACCGAGCTCTTAACTTAAATCACCTTTAAATTGGTTCAAAAATACAAAATGAAATCGTTTTTTTATCAACCCCAAAATACTTTTTCTAGCAAGATAGAGACTGAAAAATACCTAAA